AATTAAAATATATCACAGTTTAGGTCTTATTTCTATTTATTACTATTTTGGCCAAGGATCGGCAATACTCCACGATGTGGCCGCGTGTCTTTTTATTATTTATTAAATTAACCAAATTCTCCTCCACAATTTTCTCTTTCATTTTAATTTCAAATTCAGCTCTTTTCGCTGCAAAAATCGGGCACTCCGTGAGTATGTGCAGCACGGATTCACCCCGTGCTGGGTCACAAACGCAAGAGGGGTCCCCCTTGCACTTAAACTTGTGCAGGTATTCGGAGAACCCCCCGTGCCCAGTTAAAACCTGAACCAGCACGGGGTCCAACTCGAGGCTCCGGATTGTAGGGTAGGCTGCTACAGCATCGGGAAAGAAGGGCTTCGTCGTTGAGGCCGTGACTCCTTCCATATAACGCCTGTTCCATTTGTCAAGCGCATCCAGACGAATCTGTCGCTTGACAAATGAAACAGGGCAAGTTAAGGGTGATTAGGCCATAGTCAACCACACTGGCCAACTGCGGGTTGGTTGACTTCACACATATCTTTGAATTTCTTCTCAGATATGTGCAGGTTGCATCACGATGTTTTCTTTCACAATAAGAACGTCGGATAAATGTACATATGTAAATCGGAAATCGAAAAACACATTGGTACATGGCGGGATTCGAACCCAGGACCTGCAGATTGCAAGTCAAGTGCTTGGCCACTGAGCCACCGACGCTCTCTTACTAAAATACTTTACAGTAATTATAGTTACTTGTGTTTGACAGGATATCAGACTATATTAAATTAGAATTTCCATGTTGAAATCTTTTAAAACACAGTGAACCATTTTAACTTCGAATCATAGTAACTTTTGTAACTTTTAAAGTAGATAAGTAAATTCTTTAATGATAAAAGTTGTTTTATTTCAACGATTAAGCATCTCTCTTCCGACATTACACTATAGACAATAAGTCTACCAACATTTTAAAAAGATTCTGGCAACGGAAATGCCTTAATGTAGCTGCAGCGTGCATTAACACCGGAAGTTGGGAGCGTACTTTGGGCAGACAGTGAGTGATGTCGCATTGTATTAAGAACATACAAGATTTACTTCTTAAACTACTTTACACTACAACAATACTATTTAATATATCTTTGTTTTTAAAATATTTAATTTTTAACTACAATTATAGAAAAAAGTTTTTATTTAGTTGTAAATAAATTGGTAGACGGATTTTTTGCTAAAATGAGAAAGAAATGAAACTTTATTTATTGTTAATTTTATTTAAATATTTTCCTATTATATTGTACATTCAGTTTTACTTGGTCGTATAACCGTGCGTTTCTTAAACCAAAATCCTTTTTTTAAATGTTGTTATTTATGTTTTGCCTGAGATAATTACAGGGATGATGATAAGTTTTATACAGAGATTTTGGTCTGAGAAACTAACCATAAATCATAACAACCTGATTATTAAAATTATTTCAAATATGCATTTTTTAAGTCCGACAATACTCCGAGAGTATTCCTGCAGTAAACTTGTCCTGTGCCATGTCATATAGCTATCAGGTCGCTAATTGAATTCCACCACTCATTCTGCGGACGTGGCGTATCGAAATAAAATCTGCAACATCAATTACCCGTGAACCACACGGGTAATTGGCCAGAAGCCGTCGTTCAAAAAGGACTACCGACTATCTATTAATTACTTGATTTATTTCCGATTCGAGGGCGCATTTTAAATTGAGTGGATAAGATTTATTAAGAGAGAATTTTTCAAATAATTGCAACATTGATTATAATTTCATTGCAGCTTTTTGTATTCCAATCTGTGCAATTGTTTTCTCTTTAATACGTAGCAAGCATAGCGTAGCATTTGCGATGTAGCAGTCTTAGCTTAGCACTGGCAATGTAGCATGCATATTGTAGCATTTGCGCGTAGCATTCACAGCGTCACGCCAGTGCTACGTCGCGTGTCATTTCAATCACAGTTTACCACATACAGTAATATTGGCAATTTAATCCAATTATATGCCTTGTCTACATCTGATAACACCAACCGTAGGTTTCCGAGACCGGAATATTTATATATACAGAGATGAAATGTTTGAAACTGAGATTTTGTTTTCAGAAACACATGATTATGCTTCGTTGTCTTTTTTATTTCCCGTTTAAAAAAGATAATCTACTTACAACGTATAGAAAGTGCAAAAGATTTATTAACAAAGATATTAAGTAGTAGTGTAAAGTAGTTTCAGAAGTAAATGGTCCGGCGATGTTCTTAATACAAAGCGATATCACTCACTGTCGGGAGCAAAGTAAGCTCGCAGCTTCCTGTGTTAATGTACGCCGCATCTCCACCATTAAGGCTTTCTTCCCAGCTGCTTATTTTTATTCACATTTTATTAATTTTAATTTTGATATTTTTATGGCAGCTATAGTATTTGCTTTTTAAATATACGTTTGTACATCTTACTAATACATAGACATAGATATAGAACATAGTCTGGAAGAGCACATAGACTACTAATTAAGTTTTTTTTAATTTCGCTTGGACGGAGTCGCCGCTGTCAGCTAGTTGTAAATATTTTAATATGCAGAAGTGGTATAAACTAAGCTTAATTATTTTTATCAAGTTTTTAAGAAAAGGTTATTTAAGTTAAATTATTGCGTGCGATAAATTAAAGTGCAGTAGGTATAACCATGGCATATTGTTTTCTGTAAAAGTATAAAAATGAGGCTTTATTATTTTCATATAACACGGTAAGAATGCGAGTAGCATTTTGAATAGAAACCGAAGAACTTTAACGTACATATTCCGTTAAATTGGATCCGAAACCCGGGCTAACTTGATTTGCATAAGTAAAAGTCATGATTTCAACATTGTTAGGCGAGGGCCGTGACGTTTTTCAAGTCAACCCGCGTAATTTACTTTATTTATCACTGCAATTTTGTCGGCTTTGTTTGTACAGCTTAATGAAATTTTATCAGCGCCGTATTTAAATACACAAAAGCCGAATTTAATGTCATCTTGAGTTCGTGGTTTTGAGCAAATCGCTAAATAATACATATAAATATTTTGTTAAAATTAACTTCAATGTTTTAGTTTAATTTTTAATTAAAGATATCTCGACGGTGATTTATTTTGTCCCTTCGATTTTTTTTGGTATTAATAAAAACAAAAACTCACGTTACATCTTTTTCGAGTTTTGTAACGTACAGTTGCACGGATTGTTTCACTCTCCCGATCGATGTCACAATAAAACCGGAACAGAACAAAATTCTCTTTCCCCTCACTAAACTCATTCACTGAACAATGTACTGCGACAATTCAATAGTACATCGTATTTACGTACATAGAACCTATTTATTTATTTTACTGGATGTAGGCAGAGACTCCGTTCGCTTGGAATTAAAAAAAAACTCATAACATGTTCTTCGAGACTATATTATAATATTATCTATGGTAAATGTCAGTGAGATACGTTTAGCCGTTCAGTAGATTTCTAGTAACAAACATCCATCCATCCATCAATCCATCCATCCGTCTAAACTGTCATTATAATATTAATAAGGTAGTAAATATGGAGCCACTAAAATTAGAATTTTTCATTTATTTATTTACTGGTATTTATATTATTTTATCTACAACATAAAAATATACAAGCGACAGAACGTTATATAACAGAAATTGAAAAGAACTAGGAGAAATAGACATAAGAATAAAAAATGGTCGTTCAATCGATGATATTATTGCTAACGGAAAATCTCGAGCAATATTCCAGATTATTATTATATTAAAATAATCGAGACCGCTTATTGCAAAATATTAACCTTATCATTGAAGATAATTTGAAGAATTTATCTTACTAATATTATAAATAGTTAGAAGGTATCTCCAGAACGGCTCAACGGATCTGTAAGAATACATAGGTTAATTAAGATTTTTTTTAATATGCTCAGACGGATTCGCGGGCGACAGCTAGTAACAATAATAATTGGTACGGTTATTCATTTGCTATAATACAAACTAATGATAAATAAGTAGATAATAAGCACTAAAACTGCAACTTCAAGTAATTTTTACCACGACATATATAACCCAAAATAATATCGCTAGTGATGCTTCTATTGCTTTTAAAATATTACGATTTATAAATATAAAAATGTTTAATTCAGCAATAAAAATGTAAAACACTACGTTTTTCAAATAAATAAGCACATAGAGAACAATTCCCTGGGACAATTCCGCCCGGACCGTCTGTCGGGCTACATTATTGAACATATAATTTACTGACTACAACTACAAAGAACTACAAGCTACATTTCGCTTTACATTCTTCTATTCCTTTCTATAAAATATGTTTACGAACGCGGATGTCGTTATGTCTGTTAGTAATCTAATAGATCAACAAATACATGCAACTCAAAAAAGATATCACCTTCCGATATTTCGGTCACCCATAAAAGTAATGAAAAAGTTTAATATTAATTTTTAATTAAAGACTAGACACAATCTTAACTCGTTTAATATCGAACATCGACTTGAAGCAGTAATTCTTTTTTACTTTTACTTTTCCTACAATTTTGAATGTGAAAACTAAACAAAGGATTGTTTAAGATTTTTTCCTAGCAATCACAAAAAATACTTCGATGCTTTTTTTTTCTAAACTATCTATTTTATGTACCCTTTGCTATCTACTCTAATCTCCGTTACCAAAAATCTGTTACAATTTAGTAGTTGAGTGTTGAGTTTCACAAGTATAAATTTATACAAATTATTGCAATACAATAATAAAATTACTGTTTCGACATAATAAAATTGTACTTTTAATTCCTTGGTCCTTTCAAATTATTTATCTGTGCAGAAGACTATAACAAAAGTGACAGTTGACATACAACCAACGACAATAATTCGATGTCATGTCAATCAAGTGTCAAAGTCAAATGAAATTTTCCCGCATTGTAAAACAAAAATAAAAATCTTTGAAATAAATTGAAATTAAATAAGTCTTGTTTTAAAAACATCGACTAAGACCTATAGGTTTTATTCAGCTTTCAATCTTCAATGTATCAATAGAATTGACAACAATCCTAGGACTTTAATAACATTTAACTTAAAAAATGTCTAAAGCCGGGAACCTAACTAATGCAGTTCGTGCAGTAAATAAAAGGCCATTTAGAGTTTCCATAGAAGGTAATATTGGGTCTGGAAAATCGACATGCATCAAATATTTTGATAAATTTCGAAACGTTGAAAAGCATGGGGTAAGTTAGATTCGTCGTTCATTAAACTTGTTAAATAAAATAAGTGTTATACTTTCACACGTTTAATTTCAATCTTAAATTTTATAGGAACCAATTCAAGAATGGCGCAACGTAAGTGGACATAACTTACTGGGTTTAATGTACAGTGACATGAACAAATGGAGTTTTGCGTTCCAACATTATGTACACCTAAGTAGACTGCAGATCCAGGCCAGTCAACCTTCACACCCCGGCATTACTGTGAAGATGTTTGAGAGGTATACCATACACCACCTTGATCTTAATACTCACCATTTCTCAATATTAATTTGAAGGTTTCCATACTTTTCTTTGTAAACCCTATTTAAAATTGTACTCGTTTCCGTGATCCCCTTCTGCTACATATCTTCTTCCACTTTTGACCCTGAAGGATCCACCTGGATCACTATGGGAATCGCTAACATAGATCAATCTCTCTTTTTTTGCTTTTACTGAATATTGATCAGCAAGGAGTTAATTTTAATATTCTTCTTTTTCAGATCAGTACAAAACAGTAGGCATTGCTTTGTAGAGAATGCAAAGAAGCAGAATTTCCTTCAGGAGCCAGAATATCAAGTACTACTCAAGTGGTTTGATTACACCGAGAAGTCATTAGACATCAGCTTAGATCTTATAGGTATCATTTATAACAGACAAACTGTTGCCAGCAACTGAATCCACATGGAAATTAAAAAATAATAATTAGTAGCTTACATGGTGTTCCAGACTATGCTCTACATCCATGCCAAATTTCATTGAGATCCGAACAGCCACCCTTCAGATACCATATAACAAACAATCATTTGTCCAAACATTCCTATTTATAATATTAGTAAGATTTATTAACTATCCTCCAATCAAACAAACTATCCCTTTTGAAAGAGAATATGAGAGATGGCAACATTTTATTTTTGTACAGGTGTTTTGACATTGAAATGGTTATAAAAAGTATAATAATTTTCAAATAAACTTTCAGTATATCTCAAGACTACACCCCAAATAGTGTGGGACAGAATGATGAAGCGCGGTAGATCTGAGGAGTCTGAAGTACCTTTGGAATATTTACAGCAGGTGAATTCATCATTGAATGTTTTTAATAAGAAAAAATAGTTTTTCTAGTATAACAACTACTATACTATATTTAAATAATTTCTTCAAGGTTCACGATTCATACGAAAAATGGATAAACTCACCAGATATTGGCTGCGAAGTACTAACTATTGATGCTGATCGAGACTTAGATTGTGTCAAGGAAGATTTAGAGAGATATGCATATAAAATCCTCGGAGGCAATCATACTAATTGATGGTATTGTAAAGATATTAATTGCCCATTCTTGTTAATTATTGTATTTGACTAAGATCACAGTATTATGAATGTTTAATTTCTTTTTTAATCTTTATTCAATATGTTTATATTATCAAATAATTATATGTTAAATTGTTGTAAAATTACCTCACTATAATTTTTAGTTTAATAAAAGATTGTTTAACTATTTTTCTATTTTTAATGAATAAAACAAAGATTATTAGTTTTAATATGCTGAAAATCGATTTAAGACTGTTTTAATCTCACACATTTTGTGGCTAAGGCTAATAATAGACTGGGAAAGTAGAAATAGATCTTAATATCTTATAAGCTTTACGTAAATCGTCTACCTCCAATTCAATTTGACTAGAATGTAAAACTTAATATTACAGATTCAATAAGTTATTTAAAGTTAATTAATGTTAATTATCTGTAAATTAAATTAAATAAATAAATACTTAAATGAGATGATGTTTATTTTATTTATAACAAATAAAAATAATTTATTCTATACAATCTAGTTTTAGGACCTATCTTGAAACAAATATCTTATAGTATGAAATTTATTATTTTGGAAAATTCAACTTAAACACACAGAGTTTATATAAAAAATAAAAAAATCGGTTTTTTTTTAATTTAATAAAACACTTTTAATAGTTAAGAAAATTTCATATTGGTACACTATGACACTACCAAGAAAAATTATCTGTTTCAATATAGGTACTAAAACATTATTTACACTAACAGAATGAAGAATCAACGGTAGAGATGGTCAGCTCTGATATTGGTTGCTATTTCACTCTCCCACTTGTCACCGTTCAACAGTAACTTCTCCTTGTTGTAAAGAAGTTCTTCGTGAGTTTCTGTTGAGTACTCAAAGTTGGGGCCTTCTACGATAGCATCAACTGGGCATGCTTCCTATAAAATTTATTAAAATGAAATAATTTAATGAGACAACACAATTAAAAATCCTTTACCTATATGGTGTAGCTCTATGGTTTTGATCAATTGCAATATGTTGTGTGTCACTTAGACTAATTAAAAAAAAACAATACCTGACAGAAACCACAGTAGATGCATTTGGTCATATCAATATCGTAACGAGTTGTTCGTCGTGAGCCATCCTTGCGTTCCTCAGCTTCAATGGTTATTGCCTGAAACAATTTTTACATTAAGTAATTTTGTATTACTAGTGACAATTTAGTCAAAAAGGTATAGTTTAATAGCATTATCTATTGCTTTAAAAAAAAGACACAAAACTGAAAAAACATAATTTTTTGTCTTTGTTATTCTTTATACAGTAATTTTTCAGCTTTTAACACATTCATTTCCAATAAACTTACCTGTGAATTCATTTTAATACACAAAATCATTGAGGCATGGAATGTGTTAAAATGGATATCCATTATCCAATGGATAAATTAAAAGCACACATATACAATTGTTAACACTTACTTGAGCAGGACAAATAGCCTCACAAAGTTTGCAAGCGATGCACCTCTCCTCACCAGATGGGTACCGACGAAGAGCATGTTCACCACGGAATCTTGGTGACAAGGGCCCCTTCTCAAATGGATAGTTAATAGTTGCTGGCTCCTACAATTATCAAACATAATAATGTGAATCTTGAGTTGTTATTCCACATTTATTGTGCTTATGTCAATTTTTTTTGTATATTTATGCAGCAGTATTTTTTTACTTTGAATGGACAACTTCTTATATGTATATATTATAAAAATGTTTTACCTTGAATAAATGAGCTAGAGTAACAGCCATACCACGAGCCAATTCTGTCCAAAATACAGTTTGAGCGGCTCTGTCAGACATTTCCTTAATAGACATGTCTGCATCGTGAGGATTAACATACATATATCCTGGCATGTTTGGCGGATAAACCTTTTGTTCTTTGCCCTCCTGATTAGATGAACTATATTGGGCACAGCGTAATAACAAGCTGTTTGATCCGGTTGCGCGAACTGAAACATATTTTTAAAGCTATCAAAACAATGAAGAAGTCAATCAAATCGATATAATACATCCATAATATGTTGCGCATAAATTATTATTTGTTCTCTGCAATAACATAACATCCAAGACGCAATTAGGTTATAAACAAAAGTTGCGTAACCTTTGAAGTGTTTTTTGCAATTATTAATTAGAAACACCAGTATACAATGTTGTAGTATAATACAGATAAATTTACCTCGCGCTGAAACCGAAAATAATTTAGCTAGAGACATTTTCTTTTAATATTTTATTTGTTGTAACTCAGGACTTCCACTGAAGTCGCTGAAATGTCAGAATTTTGATATTGTCAAATGTCAAATCAAAATATCAATGACAGATGTTTTATTGATCTCAAAAACACGTTCCTAATCAAGACATTTTTAGCGTTTTGCATAATTATAATAACAACAATTATCATTTAATCATTTAAATACTGAAAGTATCCTTCAAATTGTCCAAAAATATTTATTACAAAATAGTAAGTATTTGATACTGGTATGTTATTAATAACTGAAAGATAAACGAAGAGTTGCTTGCAAGTTGCTTGACGTGATTTCCAGTGAACCATAATGCGTTATTCGTTGTTATAATCTGTGTTACCGCTACTTACGTCAAAACATTACAGTGACGTGACGTTTACAGATTCTTGTTGGTGTGTCGTAAACTGCGAAAAATTCGCCACGCAGAATGGGAGACACGCCAACTTCAGAATTAGAGTCCAATAAAGAAAGCCCTAAGGCCGAGAATAACACTGAGCTGGTAAACATCTTGTTGAACCTCAGTAATTTAATTTATAATGAAATACTTACTCGTAAGCTTGTTACCAGGACCGGCGTCCCTTCGGTGGGTTGGAGTTTCAAGTATCTGAAGTAGTAGGAAGACTAGAAGCCGTAGTGAATGCTCAAGATGCGTCGGAAGAGGAGAAAAAGCCGGAACCGCGTAAGATGAGCTGTGGTTTCTTCGAACCTGAAGAAAGTTCTATGGATGAGATTCTAAAGGTTTTAGAGGACATGGTGATAAAAACTGACCCTAATGCTGAATGTGTGGAGCCTCCGTTATTACCTACGGATGCGATGACTCGGGCGGCCATTCTTTCACATAGTATATCTGCGTTATTTGCCAGATTAGAGAGATCTCATGCTATGAGACTAGGTGCTCATATTGCCAGTGAAACTACACGTTGGATGGCACATCTGTTCAGGTAAGGAATTATGTAATATAAGTTCTTCATCTATAATACACATTAATTAAAAACCAATTTATAGAAACTCTAAATCTCTCTAAAAAAAGAAGTTTTAATGAAGGCCCAGAATCTTAATTTTTAATCTCTAATAATAGATTAATAAAACTAGCCAATTTGCCAATAATTCTTATGTTTTATATTGTCCATATTTTTAACCAATAACTGTTTATAACAAAAGATTGCTTAACATATAAATTCTTTAGTAAACAAGTTATATGAAAATAACATTTTGTTATTATTCTCACTATGAGTGTAAAACAAAAGCGGTACCGTCTTTTGTTATCAGTTTTACCTTGAGTATGAGTTATATGAACTTTGTATGGATAAGATTGTGCATCAATTAACTCTCATGTTAACACAACAGATAGGTACTATGAATTGAATCACCTTTTTAAATGTGAAATGAATAAAATGAAATGAAATGAATAAATGTTCAAAATATATATTTTTTTATATTATAAGGTGGCAAACGATCGAGCGGCCACCTGAAATCGCTGAATAGCAAAGTGACCATTGCCCATAGATATACGCAATTGCATACGCGTTGCGTACCTTTAATCGACGGAGGGGAGGATGCACAGAATGAAAATATTTTCCCCTTTCATGCATCTTCTCAACCGGAAAGTCCACTTCCACTTCCCATCCTTTCCTTATGAGAAAAATGGTGGGAAGGGAAAGAGGACCAAATTGTATAATTACACTGAGAGGAAAATTAGAACATAGGATAGACTTCTGTATACTAAAGTCTAGGAATAGTGCATAGATGACTACCTATAATTATAAAAACTAAATATTGATTAGATTGTTAGCTTTAATAAGAAACATAGTTTGTACGTGAAAATGTTTGCAATGTAAAATTATGTTCACTTAATGAAATTTTACAGCATGACCAATCATTAATTGCTTGCAGAGTTGAATTAAACTCACGAATTGTGTATAATAGTGAACTATAGTATGCTTATTGCTTTTTACATCACAAATTTAATTCTCAAATGCATAAAAATTGAGTTTGTAATTAATAAGAAAACAATAAGCCTAACTGGAACATAAAAATTGCAAGAAGAATATTTATTATATAAATTAACACTCACGCACACACTTTCTCACATACTCACACGCATAATCATACACACACATGCTATCCTTTGATATTATTAGCAGTTCAAAATTACTTAGTTTAATGTCTTCATGTATTTTCTTATTTTCCAAATTGTATCTCATAATATCACGCTTATTTTTACATGATATGTACTGTTATTTTTTTTTATGGCTAGTGCACTCCTAGGCCACGAGATACAGGCTCAGCCTAGTTCGGGGTCTGCAAGATACTTCACTGTATATTATTCTAACGTGTTTTTGTGAAATAAATTTATACTTATTCTTATTCTTAAATAGCAGCTCTTTTGTCACAATTGTTCAGTAATTCAGTGTACAAATATGATTATTATGTAGACACTTCAATTGCAAGAAATGTCTAAGAAAAGAATGGGAAGGAGATGGGTATACGTCGGAGGAGGGAAAGTATAGGAAGGGGGAATATTTTCTTTCTAAAGTCCCCTCCTCCATTGATTAATGGTAGCAGCAATACATCTGCAATTGTGAATGACTTTGGGCAGTGGTCACTTTGGTATTTAAGCAAATCAGGTGTTTATTGTTTGCCAATTTTTATTATTAAAAAAAAATAACAATGCAAATATATTGTGCTAATATTCAGATTGGTAGACTACAATGCATTCTATCACCAAGACAACATGGAAGGATTGGTCAGAGTCACAAGGATGTTGCTTCACCACAGATATCCAAGATATTTAGAAGATGGAGGTAAGTGAAGCTTAAATCATTATTAAATGATGTTCCGGAGAGTTCTAGATGTCTGGATTTCATAATAATTATAGTAATATCATATTTAACAACATTAAATGATTTAATTAGAAATTAAATCAACTGTTTATCACAATGTTACCTGTGTAATTTAATATTTAAGTTTATATGTTTCAACAGCACTGGCATTCAGCAATCGCCTGCCTTCAATATACAGTTGTGTGGCGAGCCCTTTAGTTGTAGTACAGCACTTGTGTAGACAACTCAGTCTGCCTCTCGCCTGTGTGCGTCCTGTGCCTGTTCATCCGTCAGGTAATTATTACATGATTACTCGGCATTGACATAATCCAAAAAAAAAAATACTACTGACTCCATGATGGAGCAACCCTAAGTGGGTATTTTTTTTTTCTCTTTATTTAAGTGGGTATTGGTCTCCGACACAAGAGATCTAATAAAAAATTTATATATAGTAACATATTCATATATATACAAAATCTTGCTGTGCCCTTTCACAACTTTAATTTTAATTCTAAAAAGCTAGTATATGACTATACTATACATTGACTTTTATTAGAAAATTGGGAATTTTACAACTTCCTTTGTTAATAAAAGTGTTATTTAAATATAAAATTCAATTCAAATTGTTAATATAGTATATTCGTATTGAAGAACTATAGCCTAGTCACCTCTAATTTGGGGTAAGCTTCGGACCTCACTAATATGTGAACTCGATAGGCATTTTAAAATAAGTGTTTGAAAATATTTCCAAAATATTATTCAGGTCGAGGAATGGATATTGAGGCGTTAGAACGTCTTTGCGAGGAAGATATAGCTGCGAATAGGACGCCTTTGCTAGTGCTAGGTGAGGCAGGCGGGGCTCCACTGGGCTGTGGGACTCCGCTGCTTCCGCTGAGTGCTGTCTGCCGGTCTCACAATATACATCTCCATGTACGAGGACATGCGTTGGCTTTGCCAGCAGCTACTACCACTGAAGAGGTGATTTTTATACAAGATTATTTTGTTTTATATATGTAAAATAAGAGTTTTTACCTGTTTATTTCCGATGTTATAAAACAACTGATTATATTATTAAAAAAAATGCACCAGCTGCAGAATCTTATGTCTCCAACAGTAGTCAGGGCTATGGAGAAAGAAACCTCCTCAAAATAACTGTCTTTTGTATTGGGTTTTTAATATAACTAGTTAGCGAAAGCTTCTTAAGGTCTTGATCAGTGCTCTTCTAAATAATATTATTATTAGTTTTGTGGAACATGTATTTATTGGTCATCATACTGTTGGCTTACAAGATCAAAATCTCTGTACAAAATCATTTCGTTATCCCTCTTATTATCCATGGGGTTTTTGGTCTCAGAAACCCACGGTTCGTCAGTACTTTATACTGATGAAAGATCCCAACTGGGTCCGAAACTGATTGGTACTTAATCTGTACTATACATGAATATAGCTGTAACTTGTTTCTGTAGGACTATGAATATATCTGCCCTCTACTCCGAATGGTTAGAGTATCTTTGAAGAAGTTGCATTAAATATTAATTTTAATATATTTTTTTTTGTTATGAAGTGTTTCATTTTATGTGTATTTTACAGAGTTACAGTGTGCCTGATTCAGTGGCGCTGACACCAGGTCCGTGGTTTGGAATTCCAGGGTTACCAACTGTTGTATCCTTTTTTAATATAATTATTACAAAATATTAACAAAAATGTTAATTATATTAACTTTTCAGGCAATATGGTCTCCGGCTTGAAGGACCATATTTTTTAAATGGTCCTTAATTAACATTTATTAATTTTAAAAGTGTTTTCTTTTTATATTTTCTTAGCGATGACACAGACATTTTATAAAATACCAGAAGCTGTCAACGTGAATGAACATTCAAAGTCTGTTAGTACAGTAAGTGATCACTCGTTCTATTTATTCATACTAAAAGTTGTTATTCCCACTACGTAATATTTTTCTATTGTTCAAAGTTGCAAAACTTGTGCTATTCTAATCAACGGAGGACGCTAAAAAAGAAGAAATACTTCCAGTGCATTTGTCTTCTGTCAAATCCACTTCTCCGTTCCTATCCTTTACTTATAAGAAAAGCGTGGGAAGGGAAAGAGGACTAAAATTAGGCCTCTGTCGCGCACATTCATCAAACTGTATGGGGAGTGACTTCCATTTGAGGCGTGTCTTTTGTGGAGTGGTGGTATATACGGGTAAGATTAGGACGTTGTATGTATGTATGTATGTATGTGTGTGTGTATGGCAGAGCGTGGGTCGCGAGGGTGCGCTGGGTGCGCTGGCGGGTCTGTGCGGGGGGGCGCGGCTGCCCGCACTGCCGCTGTGGGCGGCGACGCGCGCGGCCGGGGCGAGGCGACTGGCGCGCTCTCTGCACGCCGCATTCCGCTCCGCGCAGGCGGTGCGCGCGGTCGTCGCCGGAGCAGGACTCAGGATACTGGTAAGTTATCTTACTAATATTATTAACGCGAATGGATAGTTAGATATATGTTTGAAAGTATCTCCAAAACGGCTCATATCTCGATGAAATTTGACATACATATAGAACAGTGTTTTTTATTATTTCAGAGTGAACGACCAGGCGGCGATGAACCGCCAAATGTTGGCATCGTTGTGAGTAAATTTATTTAGTATTTTCAGAAAAATTAAAATCAACTTCTGCATTCGACACATTTTTTTTTGATTTTTTTTTAATTTAATACAGTTTTTGAATATTATTGATAATTTGAGAAATGATACAACAGGATGCGATAAGCCAGGCGTCAGCGTGCGTGGCGTTCCAGTTCGCGCCGGGTGCGGAGTGCGGCGACAAGCCCCCGCCTTACTACGACAAGCTCAACTCCTGGCTCGGACAGGTGCTGCAGCGGGAGGCGGACATGGTAACATACATGTATCACTTCATAAACATCATTTAAATCTCTAACTACGAAAACTTAAGTAAATTAAACCTTCACCAAACATTGTTTTAAGTTTAGAGCAGGTGAAATATTTGAAAACATTTATACTTTGTTCAGATAACGATTGAGGTTTGCGAGAGCGAGTCGTACGGCATCGTGCTACGTTACTGCCCGCTGGAGGGTCACGTGGTGGAGGAGGAGCTGCTGGAGGCGTGGGCGAGCGTGCTGGACGCGCAGCTGCAGGTGCTGCACGCCACAGTCGCGCTGCGCGAGCCCTTCCAGCAGCGCGTGCAGCAGCATCCATGTCTGCAGCTCGTGCACGTGCCCGGCTGGGCGGGTGAGTCGCTACTGTGAACTAACCTTAGCTTCACTTTAACTATTGGTTTCCAATCTGTAGGTCGTGGCGATTATGTAAATAATGATATGTTGTGCAGGTCTGGGCGGGGTGCGGTACGTGGGGGCGGGGCGGGAGGACGCGAGCGCGGAGGAGCTGAACGCTCTCAACCGGCAGCTGGTGGACACGCTGCGGCTCACTGACGGCGCCTTCTCCTGCGGTGATGGTGACGATGGCATGGATTGCATCAGGTATACTTGCAAGTCATCTAATCACAGTTGTATGTTACTGGCTGTTGTTGGTGACTTCGCATGTCGAAATTTAAAAAATACTGAATTATATCGTAGTTCTGTAAGAATATATTTAAAACCCACTAAGACATAAAAATAACGACAGCTATAGTTAAAAGAAGATCTTGTCACATTTTTGACGTTGATAGGGGGGCGCTAGTGTGCAGTCATAATTTAGTTTGACCTATGCCCAGCCCAATATGTTGTAAGTATAAGAGATAAACGTGGGTAATGTAATATGTATAGATTCGGCATGGTGACGGCGGACACGGACGTGGACGAGCTGCTGGAGCTGGTGGTGGCGGCGGGCAAGGACGTGGAGGACAACTCGCGCGCTCTCACTGATATGACTGAAGTACTCAAAAAGGGTAAGGAATTATCTCTATTAATTATTATGTCAAATACAGTCAAATTTAAATATAAACGAGAATCCAACAGACCGAAGTCTTTTTCTTCATTAAAAAAACCCGATTGACTAAAACTCTAATATATGAAAAAGCGCCATCTATTTCTATTTTGAACTAAATACATTGGATTGGTATTTGGCGAGTGAGATTTCAGCCTTTTTCTTCTATTTTTTTATACTTTATATTTGTCCTGCCTTTTGTGTCGATGTAATACACCCTATGACCCTCAAGATAAGAAAACTAATAGAATGACACCTCACTCATCCAAATTGGTTCAGACGTTTAAGCTCTAAGCTGTTACATCATCGGGATCGAATCTGGATATGTAAATTGTGAAGTCAACAGTTTAACCACTGCGCCACAGATGCATCTAATATTGTTTGTTATATAGGTATAGAGGAAGCGCAGGCGGAGCTGGAGCGTGACGCGTGGCAGGAGGGTCTGCTGCGCCGGGTGCCCGTCGTCGGGCGCGTCGTCAGCTGGTGGGCACCGCCCGCACCCCCCGCCGGGCGACGACTGCTGCTCACGCACGGCACGCTGCAACCCACCACCGACATATACAGGTATATACATCTCCCTCACACAAATGAGCTGACACGTCACTGACAGAGATGTACGTATGCATGCTCGCTCTCTGTCACCTTCCATACGTGCGACAGAGAACGAGAATCTACAAAGTATAAGGTATATATCCGTCTCGCTCGCACACAGCTCCAGTAACACAACAGTGAGAGATTGAACTTGACTTTTGAATTTATTCCATTGACGTTGTTTCAATTCTTGATTTTGATTAACAGATATGTTCTTAAGAAAGATAAAAGTGAAGAGGAGCCTGCGCGCGCACACTCGCCGGCCAGGCAACATGAGCCCTCCAGCAAGGAGGGCCGCTCCGTTGACTAGGTCGGCGTACACTGGCCGACACACGCTATATGTATTCCAACTGTATTCTACCGTGGGTCTCCACTGTCGAAACATTTGTATTGCCATCCTTTTCACCCTCTCAAGGGATGGAAAGGAATAGACAAGGAAGGGCATGTGTAAGAAAGGGATAAATCCTTCTTGTGTACATTTTCTGACCATTAAGTCAGGCATTTCTTTTCAACTTTTTGCGATTGTCTATTGGCACTTTCATTTCGATATTTTAGCAATACCAAGATTTTTTTACCATATTCTGGTATAAAAATAACTTTTTTTTTTTAAATAATATACTACATTTTTTACGACAGTTGAAATTCACGGTTATTTTAAATTATTTTAATTTCCAGGACCATAGACCATCTTGAAACCAAAGTGTTCTCTATGGATTATAATTGTCTATGTTCCATTTAAGTGATAATGTATACAAAAATTGAATTAGCTTATTATAACATTTATTTAATTTATTTTAAGTTTATTATTTAGGCATTTATTGGCGACTGAGAAATAACTTAATGTCACAATAGAAGACGAATAGCAATAAAATTGAAAACGGGTAAAGAAATTATAAAACTAAATGTATCGTTAATTTGTTTTTTTCATTATAATAACAATATATAAAAGGGTCAACTCTTCAAACTTATAATTCGAATTCAGTTATTATGAAAAATCGATATTATATGGCTCAGGTTACGTTGAGGAATTTCGATGAAGTGTCAAATATAACTAACTCACTAACCTCTAAAAAAAATGGATAGCCACTTGCTTGTAAATGACAAATTGAAACAGTTCTATTTAAAACACACCTGTTGATATTTAAATTATTAGTTCCAATTCACATCACCGCAAGAAACCGCTTACAGCGACAAAATGACTGAAATCAAATCGGCACAAAATAATACGTCTTATAGCCAGTCTATTTATGGAGGTCAATGAACCTACTAAATTGACCCGAGAAATAATTCCAGTGACAAATAAACCTTTTTTACTCTGTTTTTTTATCAGTACAATTTTATTGTGAAACGTAGTTTGTTTTTAAAAGTGCCAGCATTAGTTTTAATATGAATTTCCTTTTAATTATTAATTTTAATATCTTCGAAATATTTATTGTTTAGAATAGTAATTTGCCACCCTTATTACTGCCCCAGATAAGCTGCAGGCTAGACTTATCTAGACCTGGATAAACGAGAGACCTCTTTAAGTGAGAACTAGAGTCATACGAGCTCCGTTTGGAATCTCGCTTATGCGAGAAATTCGAATGAAAATAACTTGGTTCCTTGAATTCTCGTTTATCCAGATTCGACTGTACGTATAACTTAATTTGTATATCGAAATCATACTTATATTATAAATTGTGTGAAATTTAAAATATGCAATAGAAAAAAAGGACAAGATAAAATTCTTTTAAAAATCGTAATTTTTTTATGTTAAACATTCCATTCTCTTGAAATAAGAAGTCTGTTAATTGTTCACTAAATTAATTTCTTAGTGTAATTTCTTATACTAAATTTACACTACGGGTGACCACGAACGATTGTAAGCGTAGTAGTTAGAATGAATCAAAAGAAATGGCAACGCGCGACTTTTTAAGTAGTGGAAATTGGGATTAAAACTTTTAATATTATGGCAATTTTCCAGTGGAAACCCACCCATATGTAAGTAAATAAAGTTATGTTCAGTTTATTTTAACCCGTTAGTTGTAACATGATTGTTACGTAATAAATAGGATTTTGATATACAAATATGTTATTTTACACCACACGTGTGCTTAACCGTTGTATTCCAGTGATTTTCTTGTTAATATTATGTTCGAATTCAGCGCTGGTAAAATATGTAAACTCACACTGGAACCTGCACAATGCATTCCAGCACTGGATTCGCTGTACTGGCTTAATGTAAACTGGAATTTAATTCATATTTATCGTCATTAAATGTGACCTGAATATCGTGCAAATGATTTAATTCAAATATAATTTCATTTGTTAATTATTTAAATATAAAATTTCATTAATTTAAGTTATTAAATGATAAACAATAAAGTTATACAATGTTTAAATTAATTTGTTTTATTTTTTGAAAACAAGTATTTGAAATTTTGATAATATAATATACAGCGTGTTCCAAAATTCAACGATAAAACGGTTATGGTGTATAACCAGATCGATAACTACACGGGGAAAAATACAAAAAAAAATACTTTTTATTTAAGTCACATTTTTTTTTCTTATAATTTTATACCCTACTACACCATATGACAAGACAATGTGGCTACAAATATCAACATATGACTACGATTTTTCGTATATTGTATTTTAAACAAAAAGAGTTGGATTTTTTTTTGTATTTTTTCCCGTGTAGTTATCGATCTGATTATACACCATTACCGTTTTATCGTTGAATTTTGGGACACACTGTAAAATATTACTAATTAATATACTTCTTACAAGTAAGATAACTTGGAAGACATGAAAATGGTTTTATTAATATCGGCTACATAAATATCTTACTAATATTATAAATGTGAATGTTTGGATGGATGTTTTTTGAAGGTATTGCAAGAACGACTGTATGTATCTCGCTGAAATTTGGTATAGGTCTGGAAGAACTCAGGCTACTAATTAAATCCCTATCCACTTCCCATGTCTTCCTCATAAGAATCGATTTGACAGAACTATGACGGCCAGATTATCTGATTTACGAGGAAAACGGGAATATTTTAGGTATCTTTTTTTTAAAATATGCACTGACAATTTCAAGGAACGACGTCTAAATGTCCACAGGCGTCGTTGCTTTCGTTATTTTCACCGCTCGTTTGCCCCTTTTCATATAAAAAAAATATTATCTCTAATTTACATTACTGGCAAAAGATAAGCTTTAATTCAACGTAGAAATGCCTTTTATTCTTGTAGAGGAAAATTTTCGTGCATAACCTTATTTAAATGTATCTAGAAGTTGGAATGTGTCGTATAATTATCATTAAAATAGACAAAGTTACTGCATAATTTCAATGTTAGTTGTGTTTATTGTTATATTTCGTGATATACATGTACAAACGTTTGCATAAATCATTCAAATAATTATAGAGCGAAATGGCTTAGTGATTTATTACCTACTGAAGAGTGCGTTTGGGTCAAAATCTTTGGTCAACATTTTGGCGCAAATTATAATCTGTCATGTTCAATTATGTCAAAATTTTAAATGTGAGATGTCAAAAAATAGCCGCAAGTGTTATATTAATTATTTTATGCGTGTGTTTTTTGCACAAAATTAACAATTCAAAATATTTGCCGTGGGCTCATTTAAAAGATATCTCGTGTTATTATTCTGTTAAAGGAGATGTATTACCATCGGCTGATAGTAATAATTTCTCACCGTCGCAAAAAAGTATTTTCTTCATGGAAACTTCGTGTCGTCGTAACTTGACATCGAGAGACCTTTGTGCCATTGAGTCAGCGGCGCGTGCGCATCCCGATTATCGAATCAACGTGTTGTTCGCCGCACCGATCTCGGCAGAGCTTCTCGGACAATTCAGCCTCAGACAAAAGTTCGAGAACGTTCGATTTGCAAGAATACATATAGATGAATATTCTAAGAATACTCCAGTGCAAGAGCTCGTCTGGAGCGGCGGCTTGTATAAGTCACATTGGAGAGTGGAGCATGCATCGGACTTGTTAAGATATTTAACATTGTACAAATTCGGTGGTATTTATTTGGATTTGGATGTAGTGGTTGCGAAACGTTTGGACACCTTGGCCGCGAACTGGGCGGCCAGAGAGAGCGAATTCTACGTAGGCTCAAGTGCTATAGCCTTCTCTTTGGACAGCGTTGGTAGAAGTATTGCGGAAGCTGCGATAAGGTCTCATAAAACAATTTCATTAACGTTCTAACCTGAATTCGGTAAAATAGTGAATTGATCACTCAATGATGCGATGTGATCTTCCAATCCGCAGCCCGCGTCCTACTCAACGTGTAATATGTTATATTAAAAGATACCTTTTGTTTCGTTAAAATTTTAAGCGAATACATTTTATCATTATTCCACTAATAAATGTTTTATAAAGTAAATAGTACATAGCCACTAAAGCTAAAAATTCACTGATGCCGCGATATAAATTTTAACGAATTTGAAGGTTACACAAGAGACTTTTCACAAATATTACAAGCAATTTTGTTGGAAAATTGACTTTATTCTGAGTAGATAACAATAACAGTTGCCAGTAACACACTGTTCTTCAGTCCATAATATTTATAATGCATTTTCTATATTTTACGTATTAGTGTTACCTATCGCCTTAAAGAGCTGTCACTGACGTAAAAGACTTTCTAATAATAAAAATAATTTGCAGTGATCTTCAGAACAATTTCCGACATGATTTGTGGAGCCACAACGGTCCAGGAGTTATTACCAGAGTGTTAAAAATGAGGTGCAATACCACTGATATCACACTTATGAACTCTAAAATATGTCAAGGTGATGTAAAATTTTATTAACGACTAGCAGTCACCCGCGATTTCGTTCGCGTGGAATGAAAAAAAACTTAAATTCCCAGCAATTGTTCGAACTTTTCTAACTTTTTAAACCTTCCTTAGTCCTCGACTAACATTTCAAGACCAAGACAGGGTAAATCCGTTCAGCCGTTCACGAATTTTAGTGAGACTAACGCAGAGCAATCGATTTTTAAAAATAAATGTATGTAATAAACTATTAGCCAAAAACTAGCCTGCCTAGAATTAAAAACTAATTTAATAATTGACTTATTATCATCTCCCTGGGGGTCTGTACGTAGGGTATTGTAAACCTTAATGTTTTGGCTAAATTTACAAGGCTAGCTGCCTGTCGCCAACACTCTTATGATTAACTATTCTGGATAAACAATTATCCTTTTCTGGTCTTAACTAAAGGGGAAGGATTTAATTGATTGCTTTGAATGGACTCCAAAGCTAATAAACCGATTTGAAAAATTCTTTCACAGTGTTGAAGCTACTTTATCACAGAATAAAAAATATATTTGTAATTAAAAAAAAAGGTTTTTTATTCCGCGCGGAAATAATTCACAAAATCATAATACGCGGTACTCGTTATATTGTGGCAACCAAGAACTAAGAACCCTACTACAACTTACATTTTATTTACAGGATTCGAAGTGTATGGTCCGGAACTTTTTTACCCAATTAACTGGCAAAATGGCCGTAAATATTTTGAGCCAGGGATACTCGAAAACAAAGATGCGTACATTTACCATGTGTGGAGTCATATGACAAGGAATCGTAGGCCTGACAGTAATTCTCCGTACTCACAACTTGCTCGGACTTTCTGCCCGTTTACTTACACTTTATATGGCGATCAATTTGGATTATAATCTGTGGCGACACCATGCAGCGACGAAAATAAAATTTGTAAAATTTTGACGCCAACTAACCTCTAAAAACCAACTTTGTAATATATATCTTTTACAAGTGATCAAAAACACTTTTTGATTTACGTATTTAAGCTAAAGTGAATTTTGTATTTGTTTATATAGCGACTTTCCTACACGACTATTTTTGCATAAATCATTAAAAAATTACAAATAAATCTGGCATTTCATTCTAATTTAAGAAATAACCATCTCAGTCAAAAATTGCCAAGGGTGAAATAACAATATCTCCCTAGCATTCAATCCATAGCAACTATGTTCACGGACAGGCTGTAAGCCGTGGTATTTTGTGCCTATACGATATTCGCTATTTTGGCGTTGAAAGTAACGGTCCGGCGGTATAGTGTTTCTATTTAAGTTTGGTTTGACATTTCATTTGACAATTAACTAGAGATGGGTTAAGTAAAATCGGTTATGAACATTTTCGATATTCGATGGTTGTTCTCATAGAATTTGCAATTGGAAATTCTGATTTTTGTTTTACAATTACAACATAAATGGAATTATTCCTTTAAGAATTAAGGTGGCATACCACCTTAATTCTTCAAAAATACATAAAAAAATCAATGTTTTTAATATGTTAATTACGCGAGACAGCTAAATATCAGTAACAAATTCAATAAGTTGTAAAAACCGAAGTAATAGTAATTATTAGTTCGATTACAAGACTGGTTATCGATAGTTCATAGTTGTTCGTAATACGCGAACGGACGGACACTATGATAACCGACCAAAAAATACAACATTAATCCTCACACAATACTTCATAGGCGTCAGTTGTCAAACTAATCAATCTTAAATAGATACACTATAGCAGTGGAGAGGATACGAATTGAATAATAGAGATATTACCGTCAGTAACATCAATAGTAATCACGTCGGAACAAAGCAAAGGCGTTCATAACCATTCCATAGATATAGAGGTTGTGTAAAAAATACATTTTTTGGGTTCTGGAATTACGTCACATAACATGGATGTCAAGTCATTCATGAAAATGTTTAATGGTGTAAAACTTGTTAAAATAAATCGTGCCAAAATAGCAGCAATTGTTATAATATTTCTTTTTTTACGCGGGTCTTTGTTCGACTTTATTGTGAAATGGAAATCTTTGCTCCAATCGTGGCGCTATTACGGAATTTTGTGTCATTATTCGCTAGAAAATGATGCGTTGCCATCGGCGGAAAGTAATGATTTCTCGCCGTCAAATAAAAGTATTTTCTTCCTGGAGACATCGTGTCGGCGTAGCTTAACTTCGAGAGACCTGTGTGCCATAGAGTCCGCAGCGCGTACGCATCCCGACTACCAAACCATCGTGTTGTTCTCCGCACCGATCTCAGAAGAGATTTTCGAACATATAAGCCTTTATCAAAAATTCGATAACATTCGATTTGCTAGAATACATATAGATTATTACTCTAAGAAAACTCCAGTGCAAGAATTTGTCCGGAGTGGCGCCTTGGATAGATCAAAGTGGGGTGTGGAGCATACATCGGATATGTTAAGATTTTTAACTTTGTACAAATACGGTGGTATTTATTTGGATTTGGATGTGGTGGTCGCGAAACGTTTGGACACCTTGGCCGCGAACTGGGCGGCCAGAGAAAGCGAATGGACTGTGAGCAACGGCGCTTTGGCCTTCTCTATGGACAGCGTCGGTAGAAGTGTTGCGACAGCTGTGTTAAGGTCTCGTAAAGCAATTGTATTATACGTTTTTTGCAGTATTAGGTGGCAAACGAGCAAGTAGTCATCTAAATTCGGTAAAATAGTGAAGTGACCGCTGCCATAGGCATCTGCTGTTGCGTTCCCTACCTCTAATCTACGGAGGAATCGACGCACAGAGAGATTATATTTTCCCTTAGGATGGAGGATGGGATGCATTCATCCCATCCTCCGTCATCTCCACGTTGTTCCAATCAATTCTTATAAGAAAAGAGTGGGAATAGGAAGAGGACTAAAATTTGGCCTTCGGCACGCAATCCTAACGGCCGAAACTTCACGGAAGTGATTTCCTGCTTGTCTTCTGTTTAGTCGTGTTATTTTACCGGACGAGTCGGCGATACGAATGACAGTTCCGGCAGATGCAGGATGCGGTCCATCACTGTTAAATGTACCTATATGTGTGTCGAGAGAATCGGAATTGTGATTCTAAAGTCAATATGATACAAATCTCCTCTCGCTTTTTGACATTTTATCTCTAAATATCCTTCTTGAGAGAGTAATCAGGATGTTTATAATAATAAAAATAATTTGCAGTGATCTTCAGAAGAATTTCCGACATGACTTGTGGAGCCACAACGGGCCAGGAGTTATTACCAGAGTATTAAAGATGAGGTGCAATACCACTGATATCACACTTATGAACTCTAAAATATGTCAAGGTGACGTTAAATTTTGTAGATAAACCAAACTATTAGCCAAAAACTAGTCGTCTCAGCTTTGATCGGCTAAACGATCAAACTAATTTTATAATAAACACGTCATCAGCTCCCTTTTATTATTCCACTGGAGAGAGTCCGACGCGTAGGATTTTATAAATTTTATGTTATGGCTCAACTTTTACGGAATGTTGCCAACCCTATTGATAATTAGCTATTCTCGATAAACAAATCTTTTCCTTTTCCGATAGAGGTACAAACTAACAGTTATGCCCGACTTCTTCCGAATTTGATTGCGTACTGAAATGTTTCTGGTTTTCGCAAAATCCAAATACTCACTTGTTACTATAAAGTTGCGGTAACCATAGACCCATGCAACTACAAAATTTTTATTTTCAGATTTCGAAGTGTATGGACCGGAACTTTTTTACCCGATTAAATGGCAGAATAGCAGTAAATATTTCGACTCGGGAATGCTCGAGAACAAAGATGCGTACATTTACCACGTGTGGAATCATATGACAAGGAATCGTACGCCTGACAAAAATTCCCCGTATGCACAACTTGCTCGAACTTTCTGCCCGTTTACTTACGCATTATATGGCGATCGATTTGGATTATAGTTAGTTACCATGCAGCGACAAAAATAGGATTTGTCATCCTGGAAGCCTATGAACGGCGGAGACAGACCTTATTCAGATGCCCCTCGACAGATTGCCTTTTTTACTGGGTGAAAAACTGAAAGCTCTAAGCAGATAGCGTCAGCGCCAAGAGTCCTCTGCCATCTATACGTGTAGTATACGTCGTTCTCGCGATTTCTTTTGTAAGATAAAAAAAATGTATTCCTCACTGAGTGCGTCGGAATTAAAATCCGTGCGGACGCAGTCGCGGGACAGCTAGTTTAACTGTATATCGCATAATTACTTAAAAAAATAATACATCTCTTTTATCTTTGACAAAATTTTTGGTTTAATGTTTTATTTCCTTTTATTGTTTTAACTATAATGTAGGAAAATAAAGAAACAATTTTATTTATAATGTAATTAAAAAACGACAAACACGAAATATTCGATTGCAACATGTATGAGAACAACTATCGAAAATCGAAAAGATACAGAATCGATTTTACTCAACCCATCTCTAGTGAATTGTCAAACTGATCTGTCTTATATAGACACGCTTTATATGTTTTGAAATTTATTATTTTACTTTAAATTAGAAATTGTCTGGAAATCTGAAAACATTTAACTTTAACTCTTTGACCTCTTACAAAAGTGTATAAATAGGTCATTTGAATTACAAAACACACATAGGAAACTGATAACTTATTATTTATTACCAAGCTAATGACTGGCAAACTTTACAAAAATGAATTTGAAAAAATTTACTACGATTAAATTAAAAACATACAGGAGAAACATGAAACTTTTAGGTACATTCAAACAATATATAAGTGGTTAAAGAATGTGGTAATATAATATAAAACATCTGTAAAATTATTCTTTCTTCACTTTGACAAAAAGTCTTGAAACAGGCGATTTGTCTGCAGATTGTGCTTGAAACCTGATGTAAAAAATATGTTTAATAGGTCAAGTGATTAAGTTAACTGCAAATAGCATTAGAAACATTTAAGGGATAGACATAAAATAATTTTTTCATCAACTTATACACTTGCACAGGCATCCATACTATTTTTATAAAATAATTTTTTTAAGTTTATATTGGTCAGTGTAACATAAGGTGTTGTCTTAAATTTGCAAGCAAGAACCACTTTAAGGAGCCAAAAAAGCTGGTAACTGCTGTCCATACACATTTGCAAATTGCCTGCATTTAATCAACACAGGACTCTGAAAGATTTGTAATGTTTGCAGACCGACCCACACCGACAATCTCCTCTACACAAGAGGGTGCATCAAGTACTTACTAACCACACAATTGCAGCAACACAGCAGACTTAGGTAGATTCAAGCTTATTCAGGATATAATTATATTAACTTGAAACAAATTTTTAACGCTTATGTTGTAACATTTTCAAACTCTAGTCATTCATATTGCAACATGACATAGATGCGCCAAACAATTCAAATGTAATGTATGTGGCCAGATTTTTGCTACAAGGTGAGTTTTTTTTAATTACTCTTACATTTTCATTTCAATTTTACCAATATTATAAATGTTTAGATGGATAGATATTTGTAGGAAGGTATCTCCGGAACGGCTCAATGGATTTTGATGATTTGAATGATGAAGTGAAATTTTGCACATATGACCTTAGTCTGGAAGAACACATAGGCTACTTATTACTTTTTTTTAATTCCCCATAGAGTAATTAGCAAGAGCCAGTTTGTTTTAATTACTATGACAAATATTAATTTTTCCAGGAAAAGACACCATGAACTCAAAAGACACAATCAGCTTCAGCTCAGATCGGGTGTAAAACCAATATATATGAGGCAACAGGACACCAATAACTGAAATAATGAACAAACAGTAACTATAGAACTAACTAGAAGTGATACAAATGAAAATGCGTCTTTACCTATGATATCACGACTTCACCTGCTGCTTATACCACTGTATTCTAGCCTTGAACTTGAACCAGGAACAATGAAGAAATTGCATTATAGAATTCATTAAAAATATTTTTGTAACCTTATAAAAGTGGAATATTCAAGATTGTAATTGAATATTTAATAAATAAATAAAGTTTTCAAGCAGTTTTTTTAAACCTGACCAAAGAGGGTAACATTTTTTCAAACCATGACAGCTTTTTTCCCTACTGGCAGCTCAGATGGTAGTGTTTTAACAAATGCAATAAAACAATCAGTTTATATTTATACAAAAAACAATTACTAAGACCTTGCAGAAGCACACTATTGAATAAATATTAACTATAGAAGTTATTATCAGTCTAATTCAAAACAAAAATATTTGCTTTTAATATTCATCAACTTAAGATTTTGAAATAACCAGGTGCAATGGTTGAATAAAAAAACGAAATTTAATTTTTTTTGAGTTTTTATTTACTTACATTCCTAACCATCACATCACTTCTTGGAGGCCGCGCCTACTTTGGATTTCTTGGTACCGCGTACCTTCTTCATCCTGTTCTTGCGTTCCTTGCGCTGTTTGCGAGTTGGTCGCTTCTTTTCATAAAGGCCGTGACGTGCAAGTCTGTGTTTGGGCTCGAACTTTTTGGCGAGATCCAATGTGTCATAGATCAACGCGAACCCAGTCGATTTTCCACCACCGAAGTTCGTTTTGAAGCCGAAGACGAAAACTACGTCAGGTGTCACTTTGTACATCTTCGCGAGCTTCTCACGGATTTCCGTCTTGCTGACGGTAGGTTTGCCAGGGTGTAGCACATCGCAGACCATCTGCTTCCGCGCCAACAACCTGAAAACCACAAGCGTTGTCACACATAACCTGTCATGGTAACGCGGGCACGAACTTTGTTTGGTAATCACGATGTTTTATGAACTCAAACTTTACGTAAAACACATTTACCTGTTGGTCATGAATTTACGAGTACGAATCGTTGCCGTTCCTTCACTCATTTTTGCTTATTTTAGAGATTTCGGCGTGATTGACGCACGTGTCTCTAACAACTTCGCAAAGAAAAAGAACGTTTCGGTGTTGCCACACAAAATATTTCAAAAGTGACAAGTTGGCGGTGTTGCTGTCAGTTTGATTTAACAAAAAAGTTTTTTCCAATTTATAAAAAGGAAAAAATATTTTCAGCAAAACCTTTAACATAAGCTTATAGTTAGATTCAGATTTTTTCTTTAACTTTTTTGGTAATATTAAAAAAATATCTAGCATTAATTAGAAGATTGCTATTCTGATATTTGATAGTAGATAATTATATAAAATCAAACCAACACAATTCGTACGGAATCCAGTAGTAAAGTAATTTTACATTTATAGCGAGGGATACGTGCCACCGCTGCAATCGCGCAAAATTTAAATTTGAAACCTCTGCTTACCCCTTTGGTTGGAGGACTATGCTAAATTACAATGTCTTACCAATGGCATTATTATAAAGCTCGTGGAATAAATAGAACATCGTTCAAAAATAGTATTTTTTATTTCTCCTCGGGGATTTTCTTGACATTTAATGACATTAAAGATAATTACTTCTCTGAAAGCACACTAACATTTCTTTTAGTATCAACAAAAATACATCAAATCAGATCCTATAAAAAATCTAATCCATTAACGTAATTTACTAAATAAAATTCTTATGGATAGCATGTACCGTACGCTTTGAATCTTACTTTTTTCGATGGAAAAAGGGTAAAATTACATATAGATACGTAAATATAAACTATGCCTACAACAACAGTACTTATAAAAATAACGCCAGTAAACATTTGCTATACTAACAACCTTGTATAGATTATTGATAAAAATTCTACATGTTGTGCTAACCATGTCTAAACAATGGAACAAATATTGTTATACACGGCCATAGATTAGCAGAGAAAAAAATAATACACATTTTTTTAAGAAACTATTGCGAGTTTTAAAATTATATGTAGTAGTTCTTAGTAGTTATGCCTCTGCTCCTGATATAATTTAATAGCAATTTGTCGAAATAAAATTTTAGTACTTTTTTAAAACCCATTCGTTAATATACACCAGAACTTATAAAACAAATAAGTTATTCATTTTTCTTAAAGTATATAACATAATACTTGGTAGACAATAATATAATTAGTAATAACCTTTGATCGTAATATTCACTCCATTAAAACTTGGAAGAAAATGTCTGTTTCAAGACTTGTCTCGTATTAATGTAATTCAACTAGCAGTAATATTACGCAACCTTTATAATTCTACCTAATGCCGCGTCTGGTACATATTTTCCCTGTGACGTCACTATTACGTTGAGATTGACCATTTAATGTAGACCTTTAGGTTATAGCATGGGCAACCTTAGTATTGTATTTTACGCTTTGACCGGAGGTTTACGGGGTGTCTGGGCGATGGCTAGGGAGGTTTCCCCGCCCTCTATCGATCGTTTCAGGCGCCAGCTGTATTTTGCTAACGCTGAAGGGTAGTAGTTCTGTTCGTTCAAGATACGAGCGCACAAGTTTTTGGCTGGTCTCAAATTACGGATTTTCTTATAAGTAAGTTGCTTAACGTAATTATTTAATAACGTAGATGGGTTTATAAATACTTTCATCGTGATTTCTGAACGCATTTTTGCTGTTCAACTTTTTGTTTTTATTTTTTTTTAATTCGTATTAATAAGATTAAATCATATAATATTATAAATGCGAAAGCTATGATGGATGGAAGTTTCTTAGCAGTTAACTCCAGAACAGACGAACGGATCTCGCTGAAAGGCATAGATGTAGAAAATAGTCTGGAATACATAGACTACTAATTAAGTTTTTTTTTTAATTTGTGCGGACGGTGTCGCGAGCAAATCCATAAATCTGTAATGGCATTCAGTGACGTAATTCTGTAGATTTTGGCATAAGGAAACTTTATTAAGTTTTCTATAATCAATCAAAACAGTTTTATTTAATTTATTATAAAATAATACATACCAAGTCAATTTGATTCTTGCAATAATGTAATAACACTTGATACATATAATCATCCCTCACATTCTCTTTGGAAAAAGGGAGACAACAATATTTTTTACAAGTACCACTGCAATTGAAACCAATAGCAAAACATTTATTTAAACTGCGATTTTCCACACGTGTTTATTAAAGCGTGAACACTAGACATAAACAATGACTTCTGGTTAGTTATAAAAAAGAAACTAACAATACTAATGTTATAAATGCGAATGTTTGTATGTATGGATCGATTGTAAGATGATATCTCCAAAACGGGTACATGGATATCGCTGATATTTGGAATGGATCTAGAATATAGTTTGGAAGAATGTAATAATAAGCTATTAAGTTTTATATTTAATTCCCCGCGAACGGAGTCGCGGGCAACAGCTAGTCCTTCTATATAAGGAATAATAGAACCAGTAAATTGTTGATAATAATTGCCATGGTTGTTAATATTACGACTATTGTTCTCTCAGATGTTTCTATCGACAGAATAAACAACGCATCAATAACTTATTTATAAAAGTTTACAAGTTTGGCTTTGAAACTAAATTATTACTAGTGTTTGTGTTAAAAATTTTATGTTTTGAGTCAAGGAAATCGTATCATTTTAAAAGTTAGGTTAGTTTTTAACTGTCGTTTTGTTTTGTTATTTGTTTAGTAGCTGGATGTTTGTTTTTCTCAGTGTTTTGTGTTAAATATTCTTCAAGACCATAGCTTTCTTAAGTTCAAAAAGGTATTTACAATATATTCGCCCAAGCGCCTAAATGAAAAAAATACTTTTTTTTCAATTAGGCGCTTTTTTTTCATGAGAAATGGAGTTCCAAGTTTAAAATTACGTTGTATGTGTGTTGCCACATTCAAAGTCGATTAATACCTACTTAAGCCGACTATTAGTGGAGATTTTATTGACTTAGTTTGCATTGAGTGTTTCTGTGAGCATATTACGAAATTGAATATGTCAGTTACATTTCGTAAACAAGTCGTAAATTCTATCTATCTCTTTCTCTCTTAGCGTTCACTTTTTGTTTTTTAGTCTCAATGCGTGTGAATTGTGACCGTAAAACAGGAAGGATATAACTCTCCACTAGCTTTAGAATTGTTTTGCTTTAACAAAAAAAATATAATTGAATTACCATACTGCAATTATTCATAACAAAATGTAGGTTATCATATTTCGTTACACTACGTTTTTTTGTTTTTAATAAATTATGATTTAATTGTTATGTAACAAAATATAATGAGTCGTCGTATTTCGTGAATAGGGTTGCCACCTCTTGGTTTGACCCGAATTTTTTTTCGGGCTATTAATTTAATGACATTGTCATTAATGTGTGTTAGGTGATGCACCAAATACCATTAAAAAAAAACTGGATAAGATCTCATTCGATGTCTAAAAGATCTATCTCCTATTCTTTGTCTATTTAAGATACTTTTTTCTATTATGGGTTACTACAATACCAACCTAATAAGAACGTGCCTTTATCGAATTGCCATATCTCCTTTGTCTACCATAGAAAAACAATATTTTATTGCATTTTCATAATTCACAACTATGGCCATATTAAAATTGACGGCAGTTTTGTGTGACCGTTTAATTCTATTCGTTTATTTCAGACTTGGTATGTTTTGTTTCTATAGAAAATATATATCACATTAATCTGACGACCTTCATAACATTTGGGTAACAATAGAAAAAAGTCTTGAATTTCACAAGGTTATTGTGTTATGTTTTTGGTTAAATGGAATTGCCATTTGCAAGTATTTTGACGTAAAGAAAAATAAGTTCATTCGCAACATAAATTTGGAAAGGAATATTGTAGCCTAGTTTTATACGGAATCTAATTAATTAGTACGGAAATTGATAAAATAATATCATTTTTATTTGCCGTGTTACATAAAAATTTTTGGACATGCGATACTGCAATATTAATTCTTGCTTAGTAAGTGTTTAAAACATTTTTCTATCTATCATTTGTAGCCAAAACAATTACGAAACGTCGTACGATTTATATTAACATGATTAAATCGTAGTCAAAACACATGAAATCAAGTTTTTCGCATTCTAAGAAATATTTAACACTTTATCTTACAATTTAATATTTAATTAGGTACATTTGTACGCAGATAGATTAAGGTCCTTGATTTGGTTTCGTAGAAACAGTTTTCCAGACAAAACAAACATTACGGTTTAATTTCATATGAAACTAGGTGTCGCCCGCGACTCCGTCTGCGTGGATATATAAAAACTAAATTAGTGTAGTCTGTGTGTTCCTTCAGACTATGTTCTATACGTATGTCAAATTTAATCGAGATCCGTTCAGCCGTTCTAGAGATATCTTCAAACACCCATCCATCCATCCACATCACATCCATCTAAACATTCGCATTTATGATATTAGTAAGTTAAATAAAAAGCATAAATTCGAAAAAAAAGGAATAAATAGTATCCTAAGTCCGTCTCCTGGCTCTAAGCTACCTCCTCAACAATTTAAAGCCGTTCTTGAGTTATAAATAGTGTAACTAACACGACTTTCTTTTATATATATAGAGATATAGATATAGATGTTTGCAATTAAAACAAAATATGTTAAAGTAACTCGTTACAGACGTACGAGACAAGTGGGCTGGTGTATTTTCTCAGTAAAAGATTAAATCTGACAAAGATAACAACGATATAGATTGGGGCGTTGTCGTAAAAATTTGATAATAATTAAATTACTGTTATACAACTGTTAGGAAGAAAATTCGACACTGTGCCGATGTACTGGCGCAACACTAGCCTTACTAAAATATCAACGTTTATGTCCCCTCACTAATCATTCTGACACTTGACTTGATAATGAAAGCGCGCCATTCGCTCCAAAGGATTCTAATTAATAATGTCTAAATCAGTGGTTTCCAAACTTATTTTGTCTACTGCCCACTTTGAGAATAAATATTTTTAGGGCCCTCATATTTTAACATATTTAAAATCCACTATAACTTCAAATTTAATTAATTAATTATTGTGACCTACATAACGGATAATTCTAAACGAAACTTTTACTATAACCCGCAACTTGAGACCTGCAGCGCCCACAAGGGGGTGTTATCGCCCACTTTGGGAAACCAGGAGACCAGTCGTCTAAATCAACTTACATTATTACAGCAGTTAGAATTTTTAATAGTTGCATATTCTCTCGCTTATTGCAAATTTTTGAACTGTAACCTTTGGTTTCTCGGATCAAAATCTCTATATCAAACATATCATCATCCCTGTCATTATCATTAACAAAACAAAGATAACAATATGTTTTAAATGGTGATATTGGTCACCAAAACCCACGATAAGTGCAGCAGTTAGACTCTATCATTCCCATCTTCGTTCAGATTAAATGTAGATAGAAATATTTATCGAAGATTATACTTCTGAAAGTAATCATATTTTCTTTTTTTTCAGATGTCTATCGGCCTTCCTTAATTGGGATAGATATCATCAGCTAAATTGACATTGTACCAATAGGGTTAATTTCCATACAACTGTTCACCTCATTCACCCTGTATGGGTGACAGTTCACCAAACGTCAGTACATTAATACGATTCTTAATGGTATCCTATCAAAATAAGCCTAACACTTTGAAATTAAACAGTGTGGCGAGAGAATTAAGCCGCTATTCCGCTAGAGACCCAAGGTTAAGACGATAAATCACAAAAAACAAAACCACACTGCCAGTATTAAAACTAACCAATAATTAATTTTCTTACAATGGAATTAGATTATATAGATTCAAATATAAGGAACAGTAGAACACCTAATGATTTGCAACCAGAGGAAATAAGAGAATCGCTTCTATCAGAATCAACATCAGGTATATGTGGTGACGATGAACAAGATAGTAACTATGAAACAAACTCATTTTCCAGTGTTGAAATAGATATAAGCAACAAAGAAGGCATTTTATCTTTTGGTACAAGTAAATACCATAAAGAAAGTAAAAAATCGAAACCAAAAAATAAAGGATTTGGTTACCGAGTTGGAGATAGTAATAAGTCAAGTGATAATTTTATTAATATTACTATAAATCCTAACGATGAAGGTAAAGACGTACGTGTTAAATCCATTAAAAAAGCAGATGTAAAACCAACTATACCTGATGGAGGTTGGGGATGGATTGTTGTGATGTCGTCTTTTGTTATATCTATGATAGCTGATGGGATTAGTTTCTCTTTTGGTCTTCTTTACATAGAATTCCTGGATGAGTTTAAAACTAGTAAGTCTATGACTGCCTGGATCGGTAGCCTCTTTATAGCTGTTCCACTTCTATCAGGGCCAGTGATGAGCGCTTTAGTTGACAGATACGGATGTCGCAGTATGACAATTTTAGGTGGATTGATATCAGCTCTCGGATTTGTCCTAGCTTCAGTATCAAATACAATTGAAATGATGATGATTACATTCGGAGTGATTGCCGGATTGGGTCTCGGGTTAGTTTATGTCACAGCAGTAGTTTCTATAGCATATTGGTTTGAAAAGAAGAGGAACTTAGCTGTAGGTCTTGGAGCTTGTGGTACTGGGGTTGGAACTTTCGTGTACGCACCAATGACTCAATATTTTATTGAGGAATATGGCTGGAGGGGTACGATTCTATTACTATCTGGGACATTACTTAATTTATGTGTTTGTGGTTGCGTGATGAGGGACCCCGAGTGGTGGATTCAAGAACAAAAGAAACAGAGAAATGAAGATAAATCCAACTATAGCAAAGACGAAAGTAAATCTAGGAATTCTAGTTTTGCTTCTATTGGTAATACTTATATATTTGATTATGATGCTCCAACTAGGGGTGTAGGTATGAAAAGATTAATAACAAAAGGAGTGTCACCTGAAAAAGTTATAAAAGATGAAGCTGATGCTATCAAAAGATACGAAAATATTTTATCCTACACGAAAAAGAATCTACAAAAGTCAAGATCTATGGATAATTTACCAAGCTATCTTACATACGACGATAAGGTAAGTTTCCTTTAAAGTAAAGTACAATTTTGACAAAAGGGCAAGGCTATACATAATCCTTAGGTCTTGCACAGTTGGCCGTCCGGTTACGACAGAAGAACATAATAAACGAGTTCTCAACATTTTGTTAAAATCTGTAAATTCCCAAAGGGTCGATTATCAATGATGTCAAAAATATTAATATGCACTTATTCAAATTACAGAGATCGAGGAAAATGTTGGACGCAATAATTAAGACAATAAGCAAACAATACAATATTGAGGTTAAACATCCAACTTTTATACACACAAATAACACGGAGGTAAAAAAACTGATAGAAAGCAATGAAAACATAGATCCACCAGCAGTGGCTTACACGAATCAATTTCTTCAACGTACTCATTCTGAAAAATATAGCAAAAACAAAGAAAATTCCCTAAAAAAATATCAATTGAAGAATTGTAAAGAAATTGAGATGACCGTGTTATTAGATTCTGAAGCAAAGAATAACAAAATTGAAAAGCAAGACAGTAAAGAAAATCGTCGAGAATGGTTCAAGAAACAGTTATCAGTGAACCACCATTACTTGAAAGATTTGAAAATGCCGATAAATTCCATAAGTCACAGGAACGCGATGTTGAACATAAAGAGATATCGACTCAAGGCATCGTCTTGTCCAGATTTATTTAAAAATTCTATGATATCTGTCAACGAAAAGGAAGAGGTAAGACTTAACTTTTATAAATTAGTAACTGTCGCCCGCGACTCCGTCCGCGTGGAATTAAAAATACTTAATCAATAGCTTATTTGTTCTTTTGGACTATTATTCAAATCTATTCCAAATTTCAGCGAGATTCATGCAGCCGTTATGGAGATACCTTCAAACAAACATCCATCCATCCCTCCATCTAAACATTTGCATTTATTATTAGTAAGATGATGTACGAAAAGACAAAAGAAATGAATATAAATTTAATTTTTCAGAAATGGAACGAAGATTGTGTAAATTGTCTCTCCGATATGTTCAATGTGACTTTGTTCAAGAAGATGACATTCAACCTTCTATGTTTGGGTACATTGATCCTGTTCATTTGGTTTATTGTGCCATATTTCTATTTAGCTGAGCATATGACACTCAAAGGTTATTCTGAAGATGACGGAGCTATGATGTTGAGTATAATCGGAATTACAAATACAATTGGTATGGTAAGTAAAAATAATTATGGGAATTGTCAATTCAGATCAAGCAGTGCACTGTCTAGCAAATTGTTTATTAAGTTTGCATAAATCTCACAATGTTGGAGGAATATATTTTTTATCAAGGAGCTGTATTCAGTATATTTAGTAATTCCAAATTTAAAATCAATTAAATTGTAAGCTAAACATATCACTAAAAACAAAATGGCGACCACAGAAGATTCTGCCACAGATATAAATAGTTGGTTTACGAATACTGAAGTAATGAACATTGACTTTATTTTAAAGAGTAATAATAAAATAGTATCGAAATTCAATGACATGGCCTTAGTACGTGAGCATTTTGTAAAATGATATACTGATAATTTCGAAGTTGGCAGAAATAGAGAATTCTCTCATTGAATATGACAGATTTCGTATTTGTGCCAACTCACTGAATGCCATTAAACTAAATCTGGAAAGCTGAAATATTAATTTACTTCTTCATATCAGCAATAATACTTTACCACGCCTAAGTATTTGTTGCCAAATAATATTAATAGTAACACAAATTATTATCTTATTAGTTTTTTATGTTATAAGTTGGCAAATGAGCGGCGGTCACCTTAATTCGTCGTAATAGCGAAGCGACCGCTGCATGTCTGCACAGAAAAAAAAATAATTCCCCTTTCTTACGCGCTCCTTCAGCCGTCCAATTTACTTCCCCTTGCTTGTAAGAAAAGGTTGGGATAGGAAAGAACTGATAATAGAATAAATTAGGCTATTTTAGGATTTAATTTATTTGTTAGTTCCTACGTCATAAGATCCAAGTGGTGGTCCAAAAAGAAAAATAATCTTTATAGTTATTGATAATAATTCAATGAATGTTCTTAGCCTTCGTTGATTAATAAATTATTACTAGTCATATGCATTTACTCCATTTGTTCCAGGTCGGTCTTGGATGGATCGGAGATTTTCCTAAAGTCTCTATTGGAAACTTGTACGCTGTTTGTCTTATTCTCTGCGGCGCTTCAGTTGCAGCCTTACCATCATCGTTATCTAATTATTGGGTTTTAGTATCTATATCGTCAGCATTTGGATTGCTTTTTGCTGCATCGTTTACTTTCACACCGAGTCTATTAGTTAAATTAGTATCATTGGATGATTTTACTTCAGCTTATGGTTTGGTTTTGTTGGCGCAAGGAATTGGTCACTTAATTGGACCACCGTTGTCAGGTAAGTTTTGATAAAAAGTCAATTTTACTTAGCTCCTGCCCCACGATGTACTCATCAGATGAAACGCGGAATTATTTCATACCTGTCTTCTTAGTGGTCGTGGTACCAAGCACGCAGGCTTCGTGCTGCAGCTATTATTTGTAAGGATCCACTTTTAAAATGACTTTATTCTGTAATAAACAAGCTATAATCACATAATTTTCAGCGCGAAATCACCAAGACGTAGTTTTCTTGATGCAAACACCTTAACTCTTGCAGGTCTGATTTATGATTTGACTTTCTCCTGGGAACTGGCCTTTTACTTAGCTGGCGGTTGGATCATTGTATCTGGAGTACTAATTTCGTTCATACAACCTGTGAAGAATTATCAAGAAAAGCGTCAGAATATGGAACATCATAGCGTATCAAGCCATGCGTAGTTTCTTCTAACGTTCTATAAAATTCTCGTAGGGTTAAAAATAATATTAGTACAACCGCTTCGCTTATTCGACGTAGAATTTTTAAATATTATGCAAAATTATGGGCCAGCGTGGTTGACTATGGCCTAGTCACCCTTGGTTTAGGTTAGGCTCCGAGCCCCTCGGTGGGGACGTATAGTGAGCTGATGATGATGCAAAATTAACGATATGTAAAATTTTAATAGTTAATCAAGTTATCACTCTTTTAAAAACAATTTATGTACAACCCAAGAGAAGTCATTTACCAAAGAAAATCTCAAATCACTGCCTATACTTCGGCCTTCAAAATTACGGTACACAAAAGAACTGCTGCGTATTAATAAAGGTAGAAAGAGATAGATGATTTTTGAACATTTTTAATATTTCCTGAAAGTGGAATTACAGTATTTAAATTTATAATATTAGCCACAAATATTTAATAACGTTTATATTCTCTTAACTATTTAATAAAGCAATCGCCTGTATAGCTTCAATTTTATAAAATGTTACGAAATATTATAGTAGAATGAATTAGAATTTAATATTTTAAATTACTTTATTATTTTTAGGCAAATGTTAATGTTTAAAAATAAAAAAAAATAATGAATTGTGTTGTTTAATTACGAGTTTTTATCAATTTGATTTTTGACAGTTTTATTGGTCGCCGTCAAAAAATGTACAAAAGTGTGCGTGTGCAAACACAAACAAATAGTTACAATTTTCTTCGCGTACACGAGAAATTGTGTGCAAATTTGTGAAAATAACAAAAAACCCTTTGCTATTTTCTTGTAATCATAAAATTATTGAAATAAGTTCGTTGAATTTCAAACTAATTAAAGTATTTATACAAAGACATTTTTAAAACAGTTCAATGACTTTTTAATTTCAGTCGAAAAGTGATTACAAATTTATGATGATTAAAGTATTAGTGTAATTTTGTGATTCGATATTCAAAAATTATTTTTTTTTTAAATATTATAAAATTTATTTATAAAATTCTTCTAAAAGCATATTCGCTCCACTGCCCACTGCGTGACCTTGAATGTTTTAATGGCGTACTTACAATGAGGGGTCACAGGAAAATATGTGAACTAACAATTTCATGTTGAATGCATCATATTTGTCCTATAAGGGCAGCTGCACGGTTCAATGTTGCCATTGTCATAATTTTAAAATTCCATAAAATATAATTAATGCCTTATGTTATGACTTTTAGTTTAATTTGCTAATTTGTTTGGAGTTATCAATTTAAATGGTAAGGAACTACTACTAGAACTCAGGTCATAAGTTGAAAATTAGGAGCTTGGGATTGAAACATTGACGACTTTCTGAAAAGATTAGAAAAAATTTTGCTACTTGGTAACCCTTAAAACTTTTAGGACTATAAAGTAAGACGGCCATAGACAACAAACGTAACCATAACTACTGATTGTTTCAATGTGGTCAAATATCGTCTATTGAAACATTGAAAAATTCTTTCAAATTTTTCCTTACACGCCTTCACAACACCTTCGATACAATGAACTCTGTTATCTTGAAAAAATTCGTATTTTACATAATAATTTTAAAAACTACGTAAGCAACAGATAAAATAGTTATAACCATAGACACGATAATCTTTAGGCACATAGTAGCGTGCCTGTAACAATATGTTACGAATAAATATTTCTTTTCTAAGAACAAAACTGAAATTTGTTCTTATTTAGCCATGCAACATGCAGACACACCATTTAATGTATATATAATTTTTATCTTTGACAGAGAATGCTATCTCTTTATCTGATTTCACAAACCTTATCAAACAAAGGAGGCTTAGGAGAAAACACAGAGAAGTCTAAATATTGTTCTTGCACAGAGTAGCTATAAAAATTTATAATTATTAAGACAAAATCACTTAATTTGAGATCTATAAAATTCATCCTACTATTTTACATCCTTTACTGTGTATCGAATTCTTCTCATCTTTCGTCTCTTTGCCTTTTTTTTTTTTAACTTTTAAACGTATATTTGGCTTTGGTTTCAAAAATATTAAACACGCATTGTTACAAGTACGTTTTCATTTGAGTAATTGTTATGTCTAGATGTCAACTTGTCAAACTCTTAACATGGTAAATAAGACGTTACTGATGCAAGGCCGTGAAATATAATAACTTCTATTCTCGTGTTACATAATGAAGACTAATTTACAAAGACACATTCCATTCCAGGCATTGATTAAAGCTCCGTGTTAATTTTAATTGTTAACAGTATGGTGCGTTTGGTTTTTGCTTCCACGTGTTTACATTAGTCCTGCTATTGTTATAGGGAACGTGATTCTTTTGTTTGACACAATAAATTACAACTTTGATCATATTTCAACACAAAATTTAAACTATACAGTTTAATTTATATGTTTTTGCTAGTTACATCCTGCTTGAAGGACCATTCTGTAATATTCAATCTTCGAAATATTTTGTCGATTTTTTTACAAGTTTAAAAAATAAAACAGTGTCGTAAAAATATTGTATACTTTGTTGTCATATTATACAACCTCAACCTTTTTCTATATATTATAGGTAACAAACTGGATCATTGTTAAAAAAAATTATCATCTGTATAAATATATCAACAATGTCCGAAATGTCATTTGGCGCTTATCTTTGTTGTTACAATGGACAGATAAAATTGTGAAAAAAATCCGTTTTATTGTGCGATGTGCGAAAATCTACATCAGTGCGAAACTGGCATCGTTACACTGAGCACTCCTGAGGTTTCTGACGTAAAATTCCACTACATTCTCCGTATCTCGCAGACGGATTTACTACTATTAAAATATTAAGACAATAAAATATGTAGCTTTGAAGTAAACAATATTATCGAGAGTTGATAACAGCATTCGTTCTGGAAGAAGATCGGGGTACGGTCGTGTACAATATTAGAAAAAATATTTATTTTGTGTTATTAATAATTTATTTTGCTACGAAAATGCCGTGGAGCCGGGAGAGGCGCGACGAACGTCGTCTCGCCTCGTAGTAGCCCGTGCGGACACTGCGTTTGCGACGCGAACTTGACGCGGCCAGATGTGAGTCGTGTGTCGAACAGTGTGCACGTGTTTTTAGTGACTCTGTGTCCAGCGAACCGCGCGCGATCCTGTCCCAACAGCCGGCGAATTCGCGCCATCGAGGTAAGTTTTACTAGGTTATGTAAACATTAGTTTAGTTTGTATTCATGATCGTGTAAACGTTCTGTTGTAAATGCAGCTCAATGTTTATGCGTATAACTCTGACAAGAGTTGCGATAAAAACTCAATACCTAATGTTTCAGGGCCTCGGTCTAACGTTCGTTGGTTGCAGTCTATAACATTCCTACGCTCAATTCTTGTTTTAGATTTACTGAAGTATTCTCTAAACGTTTATAAATTCCTGATGCTACTTAACTTTATGTATTGTGTTCATACATTGAACGAGTTTTATACGAAGCAATGGTTTTGTTAACTGGAATAAACAAGAATTAATTTTTGGTTACTGTACTGATCATTTGACACGAAAAATATTGTTTACATCATTTTTTTTAATGCTGTTACGTCCAGATTTACGGTAAAAGTACACTTGCCACTTTCATTTTACAAATTAAAAATCTCTCAAAGATAATTTTAATAGGATAGAGCGAAAAAAGTGCATTGTAAAATGCATTTTCACATTTCTAACTATCCAAAATGTGGCTTAATTGTTTGGTTTAAGAGTCTGACTGTCTTTATTTTGTTTATACATAACTAATTACTTACTTTCTTCACCTAATTTACTTATCAGAAACGCAGCCACAACATTGTGTTATAAACTAGTCCCAAGTAACTTAGTTCTAAGTTTTAAAAATTTTGTAAATTTTGTAGTACAAATTAAAGAATTCGAAACAACATTTTGTATCAAACACCTCGCCTGCAAATTATCAAATAAAAATAAATTCTAAGAACGTAGATAATTTGTAGAGCATTGCTAATGAGAACATATTTCAATATAATGGTAAATTTATTTACAAATAATTAACGCTGAATATGGTGTTTACAAAAATTATAGTACCCAATAAACATAATTTACAATCTTTGGAAGTCTTTTATTAATGTTTACATTCCAAAGAAAATGAATCTTGAACAAAGAGTTCTTACCTGGACTAAAACCGTCATATAACTGTAGGGTATCCATCTATCCGGTTTTTACTGGTTACATCCGACTAATAGAGTGAGAGGTCACGCATGTCTACTCTCTCTTTTACTTCGCGATAAATGCCAAGTTTGATTCCGGCGCATACGTTGTATTTTTAATTTTTATGTTCTTTACACAGACGTTACGTTTTTCTTAAACACTATAAGTCCAGTGGTTAGGTAATGCGGTTTGAAACGTACAGTGTTACGATCAAATACGTATAGATCAGAGAAATATACTCTTCTATTATTAGAAATACTTAATTGAAAATTTTTATGTAAAATTACCACTGATGCAATTGATAATATAAATTAATTATTAAATAAAACATGTACGTATCAATTTCTCTGTGACATAAGTGAAACACGATTAAAGATAACGTACCGTATGAAATCTTTGTCCTGTCCTTAGGGTCCTTCAAGAAGCGAGCTTATCACTATCTCAAAGGCCGGCAACGCATCAGCGGTTCCTCTGGTATTGCTGATGTGATATATATATACTATGCGTTGACGATAACATAAGATATGTGTGAAAAGACATGCAGTTAAGTAACACTCATATTCGAACTCACTTTTGACGCCTAATGTTTTATAAAATTTCTTTAAAACATAAACCTTTATTGTTTTTATAGTGGAAGGTGGTAGTTTAGACAAGCAAACGGTTACTTCGTTTCGCTAAAGTAAGGAAGTAATCGTTCCCATAGACAACTTTTAATAGACCCAGGAAGTACAGAATAATTATATTTCCTATACTCTATGATATTCATCAATTTACATTTAAATCAATAGAATTACATATTTTTATTATCACAAAGAATTATATATTTTTCTTACAATAATAATGTCAGTGTCGCAAATTGTAAATCAAAACAAGTTTAAACCAGATCGGAACACTTGGTTGTAGCCTATCAATAGTTACCT